TCAGGTTAAGTATATAGTTTTCAATGAAAAATACACCTATTTTAAACACAAAGTCATCCGTACAGTATAGTATGTACAGTATTACATCATAAATACATTTTAAATTATTTACAAGAATGGACAATATTAAATTAAATATATTAATAAACTTACCTTAATCTCAATATCAATTTATGTGTTAGATATTGGCAGTAATGATGGATCAACTACCAGTGCCCGGAACTGTATTGTCTGTCCAGGTCTATACATAGCTTTGTCTGTCTGTATGAATATGTATAGACTCTTTGGATTAAAATCAAAGGCCGCCTCATTTTTAAATCCATAACAGGGTAATTTGGATTATCTGTCTTTCCAATCACCAATGGATATGTCCAACACCTGGGTCTCAGAGGTCTCAAAGTAGGCGGTACCATTGGCTATAATAATACTATCCCTCATTATAGATACATGCACTTGAATGGGCAACAGTAGGTCAAACACCGATACACTGAAGTGGTGCTCAGTATTTGGTCGCAATTGTTTAGGTCCCACCACAGTATATCTGGGGTCTATACCAGTCACGCTAATTAATGATTAAATATAATGATGTTACAAAAATATAATTAAATTTATGTTAAATTTATACTAGCTCATTTCAAATTACTTACAATTGTATCGAGATGAATATTAGAAATACAACTTTAAGCAAAGTTATGCCAATATAATAGTTTATGTTCATAATTATAATATGAAAAGGTTATGAAAATAACCTTTGTTTATTAGTGAACACAAAATTTCAAATAAATTTTAATTTTATTGTAATAATTAAATTAATATAATACCTTAGAAATTGTTATAGCTAATGTAATCACTTTGAAGTTTACATAACAAATGAAGTTAATAAAAATATTATAAGTTAAGTCAAATTAAATATACTAAATAATATTTAAACAATTAATTTGTTTTAGAAATGTTAATATTTTTAATACTACTATATAAACTAATATTTATTTTATAATATAATACGTGATAATAATTTATTCATGCAGCAAATTTTATTTGTTTGTTCAACAAATATTTTATAGTTAATATATTTTATACTACCATTTAAAACATAAGGATCAAATAATTTACTGTAATAAAAATTAATAAAACAATATACAAATGTTTAATATAATATCAAATTTAATTGCTCTTAAATAGTAAATTATAATTGTAACTATAAATCTATAATAAATATAAATCCTTTTTGTAATAAATCATAAGATAAATAAAATCTAATTATAATTATAGAAAAATGATTATTGACATAACATTGAATTATTAATAAACTGTAAACTATGTTAAAAGATAATAAAAATTAACTTTGCTATTTTTGTATTTATTTTACTGGCGGCGCTACACAGAAATAAATAACTATTAAAATTCATTTTGCAACAAGTTAATTTGAAAATAACTTTTTTATTTATTTTATCAATAATTACAGCATATTATAAACATTAATTAATTATATTTATTTTAATAACAATGATATTAATCATTTAGTGCAAATTGGGCTGTCATAGGGTATATGTCGGCAGTCTGTGGCCTCCTCATATTTAATCTCCCTGGCCACAAAATCATACCACTCCAGTCGCTCATCACATGCGCACATTTTCTCAGGAAACGGCTGCAAACACTTAAAAAATTTCCAAAGTCCGCAACAAAGATCAGGGTTATCCAGCGTTTTGATTTTAAATTTAAAATCACCATCCTCATAGCACTTTTTAATGCCACTTTTATCCAGGGGGTCCTTCACAGCCCGACCCATTTTATTATCACAAATAGCTGCCAATGGACTGGGAGTCGGTTCGATTAGGGGTGTGGGCGGTGAGGTAGTCTTGTGCTGTGGCTTAGCATTGCCGCAGTAAACCGTGAATATGGTTAACACAATAGTTATAAAAATTAATTTCATTTTTGTTAAATAAACTTTGTAAATGATCTATGTAATAAAAGTAATATTAGTAAATCAAAAACTAATTTTTGTTTTTATAGTAACAGAAAGTTTGCAGATTTTTTTTTCAGTTCATATGAAATATACAATTAAATGCAATATTTTTCTCAGAAATCTTTGTCCTTATATTGATTTTCTAGACAAAGAACCTAGATAAGAAAGTGCTATGCTATACACTTGTCAAGTTATCGGGATCGTTTGATATTAATTTTGTAATTGGATTAACACATGATTGACATGCAGGTAGTGATTGAAACCCGTGTACGTGACATTGCAATTAGTGCAAAAGGTATGGGCGATTAAGTGTACAGTATTGCACCTACATGCTTTAATTTTGGAGTAGTATAGGATATGTTTAATCTATAGTTGTACAAGTGCACAACATATTAGGAAAACAACATTTAATATATGGGTGATGTAATTAGTTAAATATAATTAATTATATTAAAAATATTTATCCGTTGTCGCTGCTTTACCAATTGTTTATAATTTAAAACAGATTGTGTAATTTATAAGTTTACTAGGATTTTTGTTACAGTTTATAGTTACATGTAAATATTTTTAAATACTTTAAAATAATAATTTATATAAACCAGATAAATATTTCTAATATACATTATTATTTACTTGTTTATATTTATTAAGCCCATTATCAGGTTATAATTACTAAATTATTATTAATTTAATAATAATATTACAAGGAAATGTTGCTATTAAACAAATAATTAATTGGCGTAATGTACAATTGATTTAATTATTTTGCAATATATTAGGCAACTTATTATATCTAATCTATATAGTTTATAATAATAGTAAATGATGTAGATATTTATTTATTGCAATTGTATTTAATAAATTTCTATTGAAATCTGTAAACCATAATACTATAAAGCTATTATCAACTATATAATATTACTAATATTTATATTTTATATAATAAATACATTAACAGGTTAAATAAATATTTATATTTTTGTTTATTTAATTATTAAATTGATATAATGTTATATTTTGTAAATTCTTTTTATAAAAGTTATAAGATTAGCAATTTAATAAATTATATAACTAATTTACTTAAATAATACAAGTCGTATTTGAATTTAGACCATAGATAATTATTTAAACTTATATATTAAATACGAAAATAAGATTTATAAATAATTAAATTTTATATTTATTTTATAGATTCATTACTGTTTTATTTAAATAATAAAATAAAAATTTATTTTTATCTGAGTGATGTCTAGTTTATAAAAATTATCATGTAATTATCACTTGCTTAATAATCACTTATAATAAACAAGCTGAAGTTTTAATATAAATTTTTTTAATAAATTTAATATTACATAAATGTATGTAAAATAATACTAACACCCTTAGGCGTGATCCACAAAGTACATACGCATGCCTAGGGGAAGGGGGGTCACGCCAAAACGTATGTCCCCATGTTAAACTCCTATGTACGATAGGCGTGTAGGGGGGGGGGTGAATTTTTGACCAAAATTTTGCCTACGTACTTTGTGGATACTTAGTCTTATTTGTAATGTTATAAAATATATTTATTAACTTAATAAATAATTTAATATTTTATTAATGAATTATATTAAAAATATTTACCGTCCATCGCGACTTACTTAGTTATGTATAATGTATAACAGGTTGTGTAATAGATAACTTTATTAGCATTTTTGTTACAGTTTCAAGTTATATGTTAATATTTTAAAGCGTGAACTTATTATGTTGACGTATAATAATAATTGCCATAATTTATATAAATATTACTGTTAGTTTTACTTATTTATTAATTAAGATTATTATGTATTAATAGTCATTACATTATAAATGGTTTAAAAATTGTATTAAATAAAATTTGTTGTTGTCTATTTATTTATTGAATACTTTATAGTCATTAAAATTATATTTAAATAATTAATTAAAAGCTAACATTTAATTTTATCTCAATCATGTTTTTTAGTTTATAAAAATTAACGGGTAATTAATAATAATTTCCGATACAAAATAGTAATTTTAATATATAGTTTAAGATTAATAAAAGTTTTAAATAAATTTAGATTAAACGGCAATATCATCACCGACTCTTAATATGCTAAAATATATTTATATATTTTGATTTAATTTTTAAACTACAATTTACTCAATCATGATAATAAAATTATTTTAAATTATTATGAAATTAACAGTTTAATATATTTCGGAAATCTTCAAGGACACATTAAAGAATATAGTTGTTGTAATTACATTATAATACAAATTGATTATTTATGAAATGATTAATCAATATATAATTCTCATGGACATAATGTAGTAGTTATTATTTATATTTAATATTTTAAAACATTTAACAACCCTAATTTTAAGGTATTCTATTAAAAATAATTAGATTACTTTATTAAGAATAATTAAACACTAATTAAATGCTAATATTATTTGTAATTAAGCCTTTTTAAAAATTAATTTAATATTTAGTTAGTAATAAATTCTCATTATTATACAGTACTAGTATTCAAGAATTGTTACTAGGTAATAATACTTTGCAAAAGCTATGTTACTGTGAAATACTTGATATTAGTATACATTATTCCTTATAATAGAAACAATGGTAATATGAAATAACTATGACATGTCATTATTTGCAATGAGAAAAAACATCCTAATAATAAAAAATTAATAAATAATACACTTGTAATAAACACTTATATTTACAGCAAAGTCTAGAAATCGCATAATAAAACAAATACCACACACAAAAAACTGATAACTCATTAGACATTGTTAGACATTATTTTTCATTATACACTAAACTCTATGGTTATAAACAGTTAGCTAAACAATGACACTATTATTATATCCATGGATATAATCAGGAAAATAACTGGCAATAGAAAATATTGTTTCAAAACAGGCACCTATTACTACGTATTATTTGGTGTGAATATTTATACAAAACAAAAAATTTAATTTAAAGTTTTTTTTAAAGTAACCGTGTACCACCTATTTGTGGAATAACATGTTTATCAAACTAGCAGTAATAATATCAATTCAATTATATGTGGGCACATATGCCGTAGATTTTTCAGAGTTTTACGGTTTAAAGGGTGTACCCCAGCCCCTACCTCCCCTTCCGGGCAGGGGTGCAGTTAAATGTCTGAATACAGTGCTACCTGAGCTCTGGGAGTGCCGTAACGACTCGGTTAAGAACTGGAATGTCTCGGATTACTCCACGTTAGGGGACGTGTGTTGCGCCCAATGGGATAACCTGGAGTGTGACCTGGATGTTGCCGCTAACGTACGTTTTATTTATATTAAATTAATACAATTATACGTCTGAATTTATAAATCATAAAATAGTGTTTGTAAGTAATTTAAGTTTAGGGTTAGTTTTATGTCCAAATTCTAGTTATTTTTATGATTCTAACTTGATTAAAATGTAATATAGTAAGTTACTTAATCTTAATTAATGATGAATTAATGAATTAATGAAATAATCTCAACAAGCAAACTGAAACTAATAATTTAAATAACGAATATATAATATAAACGAAGTGTTGATTTTTTATGTGGAGAAGCTCGGTGATTGGATTTATTAAAATGAATTTTTTTAAATTTTTTAATAGAAAACTATCACAAAACTAAAATGACGACATTCATAATATTTTTAAAATTAAATTACAAATCTAATATATAAATACATTTCATTTCATTTTTTAAAAATCTAAATAGCTGATAATACTGAATTTTTAACTTATTAACGTTAATTCTTTAGAAATATTTAATTAATTCATATTAAATTAAAAATTAATTTTTTTACCTTGGTAGTCCAACTGCGAGGCCGAAGAGCTGGCTGATGTCAACAACTATTTCTCGCAATTAATTGATTTTTATAACCGCAAAACGTGTAAAGATTTCCCGCGAGGGGGCACTCACTGTATACTGCCAACCCTACTGACACTCGATGAACAGCGCTTACAACTGGAAAAGGAGTTGGACTCCAAGAATGCCGTCAATGAAATAAAGATACCCCCGCAACCCCTGCCCGACCCCCTGGCGCTGGACTGTTTAGGTACCCTCAACCCTATAGTTAGGGTTGGCTGCCGACAGGTGGCGTTTATCAAGTGGAATATTACTCACCACAAAAGGCCCCCGGTTAGAAATATATGCTGCGCCACGTGGGACGATATTGATTGTCTGGATGATATTGCCAAGCTTAAATGTCCGCAACAAGAGCGTGTGTCCATAGAAAGCTATTTTAGTCAGGTTTGTAAAATATGAGCTGTATATAATAAATGTAAAATGTTATAAGTTAGTTTGATATTTTATTTATTAAAATGTAGTTACTTACCCGTTTGTTTTAAAATTTCAGATATAATTTATTAATTTTAAAACTAGGAAATTGATACGAGATTACTTTTAATTATGTTATTAATGCCAAAAAGTATAATAATTAATAAATTAAAAAACATATAATTATTGTTAGTTTTCCAAAATTAAACATAATTTTAAATAAAAAGCTCTATTCATTAGTAATTATATTTAATTAACAGTTTTTAAAAAAATATTTTTTCTATTTACAAATAATAGCTGGAAAGTTGGTTAGCCGGCATTGGCTGTGGACAGGCATCTTATCACAGCAGCAACTGTAGCACACCCTCTGACCCCACCAGACCTCCAGTTCCCGCTAATGAACAGTCAGTAAACGTCCAGATTAATGACCAGGATAATATCGATGTCATATTCCCGGCCAGACACCAACGTCTCGGTGTCAATGATGAGGGTACCAGTGCTGAGGATAACCAACTGAACTCCGACTACAAGTACTTTATACTAAACTATATGATGGCTGTCTTCCCACACCTCCTCAATCTGATGGCACTGTTGGCCGTAATACTGGTGACCGTCATATGTGTCCAGTGTTTCATAATAGCCAGACAAGTGAAGCACGAGAGATATTTCCGGGATATCAATGGCCAGGGATATCAGAAAGTCAACATTTAGCATGCTAATTAATGTGTGCTTGTTATTACTGTTATACTTCTAAATTATCTTGTTTATTTTTTAAAAATATTTTTAATCAATAATTTTGATAAATATCATGTAATCAAGCTAACTGAATGTTATAAGAAATTTGAAATAATAATGTATTTTATATTAGACTATGCTAAAATATTTGTATTAATAAAATATTTAGTTTTTTTTATATATGATTCTTTTTAATTATGTTATTTAATATAAATTTTTTTAATTAATAATATTAAAAATAATACTTTAAATATAGTCTAATACAAATACAAAATCAATTACTTGTTAATAAAATAATTTATTATACCTTTAAATAATAAATTAAAGTACCGTTATTACTTGAGCAAAAATATTTATTTTGTTAAATTTAACAAAATGTTTATATTTACAGTTTTAAAATTATAATGAATATTATTGCATTACAATGTAATGATTACATATTAGTATTTTAAAATCATTAATTAAAGATTAAATTAAAGATTATAATAAGTTTGTTACACAATTATTTCCAGCACAAACATAACGAATGCTATTATATGCATAATAAATAATAAAATCAATATATTGTTAAAGATTTCACTGACATTAATATTGTTATAAATGTAACTATCATAATGAAAATCAATAGGGTTTAATAAATGTTCCCTGCGTGCATTATCCTGATCCAATATGTTTTCAATAACTTCATGATGATCCACTAATCCCGATTCAATTGCTTGCAAGTATCTAGGATTGAAAAAGTAAATACTGTAACAATAATAAGTTTATTTATATGTAATGTTTTAAACTGTAAATATATTCAACTGTGTATTATATATTAAATCAACAAGCTATTTTGTATCAATTTGGCTTTTCGAGCAGCTGTCGTTATAAAAAGTTTTATCTATTATTTTTGTCTAAATATCGAATTAAATTGATCAAGCAAAATATATATACTGTATATACTTAATTAATTTTAGCTTACGCAAATAAAATCGAGTTGGTGAATTTATGCCCTTTTTGAACCACGTAAAAGCAATACTCGGGTATATTTTTATCATCAGTAATCGTAAACCAATCAAGGTACTTTGCTCGTAAACTTAGCACTTTATTCACCTTGTATGTATTTGTAAACATAACCACTTTGCCCCATAACATATCACGAAACATAACATCATCAAACATAAAGTGCCAAGCTGTAAAAGTATCTTTAAATTGACTATTATAATTTTTAGTTTTCTCCACCAGGGTTGATATAGTCGCATTTAAACGTGGTATATTATCAGGGTCCATGCCCTCTAATGTATCAGCATTAATATTAGCAGCAATAGCAAGGTCCTTATTTGCCATGGCCTCATCCAATGTATTAGAAATAGGAGCTGGGTTTAATTTTATATAAGAATTCAGTAATATCGAGTTAAATGCCTGGGTAATTATTTGGGCATTTAGTATCCAGATGTAAACTACCATGATTATTATAATTATACGTGACTTGGAAATGGGTTTACTATTAAGTAATTGTTGAAAAATATTTGTCGATTGATTTGTCAACGATTTGTATACTTCTGTGTATGCGTTGAATGCCGTAATCCTTGAGTCGCTTAATAGACTGATTAGTATGGCGTTCATTATGGAGACTACGAGCAAATTGATCCAGATCTATTATTTTAAAAATAAGCATGAAAAATATTAATTCTAGTGTGTGTCGTTACCAGTTGAATTATTATAATATATGATTGATAATTTAAGAATAAAGATAAATTTATTTTACAGGTTGTATCATATAAATATTAATATAATATAAATATTAAATAATACTGTATTTTATTAAATATTAAAATGATTGCATATTGTTTATTAAAACTAAATATTATATAAAAATAAGCAATATGCTAAATATTCTATAACAATTTATATTTTGAATAATTTAATTAGGCATAACTAGATCACTATATAATTATATAAAAACTTACCTGATGATCAAATAGCTTGGTAAATGAGAAATATGATAAATCTTTGTCGGGTTTTAAGCCACATATCATTTCTAAGTAATATATCTCTCTAATAAATACTCCTGATAAATTGTATTTTGATCCAATTATGTTCGTTGGATACCGATTGACCATGGTTAGAGCCTTATACAATTATTATTGATTAAATCAATAATAAAAATTATAAAAATTTCAAC